GTTTGTCCATGCTCATACTCTGCACTGTGCCAGGCACATTTGGCTTAACTCACGACACTATCACTAGACAGTTGCTCTATGCCAGGTGCCACGGGAGACGCCGAGCCAAGTAGGAGGGGAGCACCCTATAAAGGGACACAGGCACACCAGCAGGGAACGGGGCTCAGGCTCTAATGAGGAGCATGCAGACCTGCAGATGGAAAATATCCATCAGCATTGGAAAATGTAAATATCTAAGCAACGAGAATGAAGAAGAAACACAAGTGGCAGGAGGGTGAGGCCTTGGCATGGGGAACTGTGCGGCTGGAGGATTCCACAGGATTCTTCCAGAACCCGTGCTCCCCTGCTTTGTGTTTCTCCCCTCCCTGGTTTAAGATTTCCCATCTGCTCAAAGTGAAGATCAACCCAAATGTCCCCTTATGCCCTGCCTTTGTGATGGTGTGACATGTGGCTATTACTCTTTATTGTTACTAACATTTATTCAGCACCTACTATGTGTCAGCCAGGGCTGAGAACTTAATATCTTTTAGCATAGATTTCCCAACGTTGAGGATACATTATTGTCCCCATTTGAAATATGAGGAACAGGGAGAGTTGTGCCTTTCATGATGGGCCCTGTAGTAAGAGCTCAAGAGACTTTTGTAATCAATTATCTCTGAGATGCCTGTCATCCTGCCCCCCCACCCCGCCCCACAGTATTAGTTCAAAGGCAGTTGCATCTGAGCATTCCCTCAGGCCTCCTCCCGGTCAGTCTTGGGCTTCACAGTTTGATGCAGATGAGATGGGTACGGTAAGGACAGTGACAGAGTGCCGCTGAGCAAGGACTGGCTGAGGAGCTGGGAACCGGAACCCAAGGCTTACACTCACAGGTGAATATAAGGGAAGTTAGACTACCCTACAAGAAATTGTAGCCCACCCCTAGCGTTCCAGAGTCAAGGAAAGTGGGGCTTAAATTGAGACTGAGGGTAGCTTAAGTTCACAGGCTTCGGCTCTTTGGCCTTCCCCTCAACCCAAAGACCCTAATGCCCCATGCTCCCCCACACACTGCTCTAGCAGTGTCAGCCCCTCCCCTCTGCCCCTCTGTCCCGCACTCCCCTCTCCCACCCCAATTAAGACAACAATTAGAAGCGAGCCAGGCTCCCCTCCACCTAGGTAATTATGTTCTCATTAAGAGTCATTCTGTGGCTTCAAAAGCATTGACGCTCCAGCATGGGTAGGCTCACTAGTTGCTGCAAGCACCCCACAGCTCCTGCAAAGCAGAGCGGACATTGATCCGGGACCACTCCATACAATGTGCTGAACCTACTAGTGGGGTCCATAGAGCTTTCCTGAGTTCCCCTCACTGTACCCATAAGCTTCTTGCTGCATGCCACACAGAATAAGCCATAGCCTCTGCCCTCCAAGAGGCAAGAGTAGGCAGTGGCAAGGCGGTAAGACTCCACACTCCTTAGAGGGAGACCAGAGACAGGGTAATAGTTCTGCCTTCCTGGGGTGTAGAGATTTCCTAGATGAGGGGACCAGAGAATATGCAGGCAGGGGAGAAGGAATTAACGGGGTGCTGGGGAGGAGCTTTTTCAGACCCAGGGTGAGGCAGAATGAGGGGTGGTCCTGGAACCCTTAGAGGTTGGGACCTAAAAGTCTTATTTTAGATGAAAGCAGAAGGCAGGGCCCAGATCTACCAAGGATCAGAGGATCAGAGGTTTCAGAGCTTTAAAGGAGAAAAGTGAGGTGTGGGTTTTAGAACCACCTCACCTCCCCACCTCCCAAGCCTCTGGTTTGGGACAGGGAGGAAGTCAAAAGGGACCTGACCATCTACAGGGTCTTTTTTCTCCATCCCTCTCTTCAGTCCACCTTCTACCTGCCACTTGGGTCTCTCATGACCCTATCTGCAGCCCAATTTTCAGGCCTAGGTTGGCTTACCTGCCTCTGATTAAAGGAGTACTCACCTCTATCTTCATCCCCAAAAGGAGGATGATGGCCCAATTGCCACATGGCAGGTCCATAGGGGAGGTATCTATCCACAGTCCCACTCAAGCAAATGAGAAACTCAGGCCTGAAGATTAGGGATTAGGGCTGCTGAGGGAACATGGAATCCAGGAGAGCTTTGGGGTGAGGATGCCAGTTTAGCACTAAGTGCTTACCAGTGTGGATCACCATTGCATGTGAAACTCAAAGCAACCAGGAAGACAAGCCCAGCCCCAGACAAACCCAACTCCAGACAAGCCCAGAGGCCACCAGCTCCCTTCCTCACCAGCACCAGGCTGCACCCCAAGGAGGGCGAGGCTCAAGTGGACAGTACATTTAGGGAAAGCACTGCCTGGTCTGTGGGAACAGAACAGTTCCCCAGAAACAGCAACCTTTTAGCTGAATGTAGGTCCTCTGTGGGGTGGAATTTTGAAAAGCAAAGGAAAGAAAGCGTAACTTCAAAGCAAGAGTGGTGGATAGATGCACAGAGACAGGAATGGGAGATGGTTCATTAGTTGGAAGGGTCCAGCTGGTGGAGAAAGAAGAGTCTGGGGGCCAGAAGAGTAAGGGTCTGAACGGCCAAGTCCAGGAGTTTGGGGAAGTAGAGACCTAGCCCTAGGACCGTGGCTAAATAGAGTCAGAGCAGAATCACAGAGAACTGAGTGATCTTCCATCTCTACAGTTTCCCTTCTGGCCTGTCAGGGAAGAGAGACAGAGGACTAAGGGTCTTCTCTCAGGAACTCAGAGCTGGACCTGCTGGCTCCCTGGCCCTAGTCCCAGTCAGTATAGGTGCCAGTTACCAACATTCAGGGCCCTGGTCAGGGACCGTGCAATGGCTGGGTGCTTAGAGCAGGAGATCTTTAGTCTTCCCTGCCTTTATACAGAAGGGCAACCTGAGACCAGAAAGGAAACTTGCCCAAGTCACCCTGGTGGGACACAGTCTGTGGGCTCCCAAGCACCAAAACTCTGGGAACTGGAACCTGGATGGCTCTGCCTGCCTGAGGAAGAGCAATGAGCACCTTCCAGCAGCCAGCTGAGCTCCCTGTTCTGGAAGCTGCTCCCGGGTACCTAACCCTCATAGCCTGTGAGCCTGGAGCAATGGACATAGCCTATACACTCCTGAGGCCAGGCTTGGTTGAGGTAGTTCCTGGCCAAAACTTCAGTTGTCCTTGACCTCTCCTTCCCAACAGGAAGACTGTAAGGCAAAGCTCTTATGAGAGTGAGAGAGAGAGAGAGAGAGAGAGAGAGAGAGAGAGAGAGAAAGAGA